TGGGCTTACTCAGGCCCTCAAATGTGGCAATGAGTACCTTTACCTGCTGAGAAATTTCACCCTTATTGTCCACCATTAACTAGGCTAATTATTATTGCACAAAGGCTCTCCCACTAATAGGCTTGTCATAGTTGCAGAAAAGCACCAAAATATGGGTTGGCTTTTGAGTGAGGCTTTAGAAGCTTTGCAAATCCCACGTGTGAGGCTATCATGTATGCGGGCACTCTTCAGCATCTCCACTAAAAATTCTTGGTACTCTAGTGGTCCCAGGACTGTCTGCGTAAAGGAGATATATTTTCAAAGCTCAGGCTAAATCAGTGACCAGTTTCAATGTCCCCGCTACTTTTTACTATCAAATTTATTCTACCACAGTGGTTTAAGATCAATAGCTGCAGTATCAGCTAAGTACCTGTTAAAAACAAAACTACTGCTTCCCATCCCAGATGCCTTAATTAGGGACTTTAGTCTACATGATTTTGAGAATTACTGGTCTATATTGATTAAAGAGAAACTTAATCTCACAAGTATGTTAATGAGTCAAATAAATAAAAACAAGGTTAAGTGCTTATCTAGAGAAAGGATAACAATTTATAAATAAATTTAAGCTCTAATTGTACTACTAGAAATATTATTAGGGATATAACATTAATATTTAATATCCATGGCAAAGAATATGGTTGGTATAAACGTCACAAAAGGACAGGATACTTCCAAAATTCTTTTCTTTATGAATGATATTACCTATATCACACTTATAGATATGTGTGTGTGTATGTACACATTGTATTTTGGTGTTAGAACTACTTTGTGAGGTTGACCTAAGCCAATGGGTGAGCAAACTTTTGCTGCAAAGGGCAAGACAGTAACTAGTTTCAGGCTGTGTAAGGCATAACTTCTGCTGTGACCACTTGACTCTGTAGTACAAAAATGACATCACACACTACAAAGAAATGAGTGTGGTTTTATTCCAATAGCATTTTATTTTAAAACCACCCTGTGGGACAAATGTGACCAAATGTCAGTAGCTTGCTGATCCTTAACCTAAACTGCCATTAAACCACATGTCTATTACTTATACTTCCTGAGTGACTGGGGGCAGTGTGCGCAAAGGCAGGATCCCAATGCTGCATGGATAATTCACAAAGACATTGCCTTCTGTGAAGAAAATGCATGTACCAGGATAAATGAAGATTCTGTGTAGATTGCTGAAGGCATTCATAGAATTAAATTTTAAAGAGAATCTTTTTCAGAGCAAGATTATAAAATGCCCATTTATGCTTAAGTTGGTGATATGTGTTTAATAAGTATTCACTAAATATCTGTTGACTTAATGACTAGTGAGCTTTGTTTAAATGGAAATATTCTCTGCCAACTATCATTTGGAATTGAGTTGAGTGAGGAATGTAACCCGTTGTAGAGCGCTGGCCTCACATGCATGAGGCCCTGTCTCTTTAATCGTTGATATGGAATAAAATAAAATAAAATAAAAGAACGAAGTTGACTCTGTTTTAAAAAAAATTGATTCAGAGAAACTGTATTAAAACAAACAAACAACACAGGCATGGAGTACATACGCTGTGTTAGAACCCTGGATCTACTACACAAGTAATTATGGGAAAATTATTCTCTTTTCCACATCTTGGTCTCCTCATCGGCAAAATGCCATCGACTTGAGGTGAGTCTTCTGAGTACAAAAGCAAACAAGAATATACAGATGAGGTACAGATTCTGGGGCTTGATGGGCCTGTCACTTTTCTCTGCTGTTTGCTAAGCAGGAACCAAGAACACAAGGCACTGAAATTTCTTTACAACTACATTCCAGATAAAAGAGAGAATATCGCAACACCGAAGCAACTGAACACTTACAAAAACTTTATCGTTTAAATCCAGACATCCACTCCACCCTTAATTAACTATTACTACCCAGTCAGTTTAACAAAAACATCAAATAATTCTGCATGGAAACACCCTGTCCATGAATTCACAACCTCAACAACCTCCCATCACAACATCAGGCTTTTTTTTTTTTTTGTCTGCATAGCATATTAGTGCAAAAGTACTTGGGACAATTTTAATAATTAAATGAAAATAATTAAGTTTCCAAATATCATTTTAAAAATTAAGGCAGTAAAATAGATTTCTTATTAAAAAAAACACAGCACTATTTTCATTGTAACTCAATAATAGTTTCTCAATAATTCCCTTTAATTTTTCTCTGACAGGACAGGTTCATTCATTTTTTTGATAAGACATTCATTTTAGTACAATTATTGCAATACCCTGCAATTCAGAAACTTTATTATCTTTCAGAAGGTTAATAAGATATCAATCTCTTCCCTTAGTTTGCTATCAAATCACCTTAACATTTTTATCTATTAAAATTATATTAAAGTAACAGGAGATTACTTACAGCTGTGTTGAAATATATAATTGTTCAAAGGAAAATTAAAGTTTTGTTACAGATTGATTACCTAAGATAATTTCTTACATAAGAAGATAGCTATCATATATATTAAATACTATATCTATTATATTGTTATAAAATACCATAATTTGGAATACTTATTGCTCTCCTATCAGTTTATTTCTTCTAAAAACTTGAAAATACACTGGCATATAAAACTATTTCATATCGCTCTATACGTTTTCTTAATTTGTCCCACATTCTTTTCTTTGTGAAATGTTAATGAAAAGATTAAGTCTACATATACAGAGATGACAGTGAATGGCAGATGTGGAGAGAGCCTCTTGGGAGGCTGGAGAACCTAATGAAGCCACACTTGCTCATGAGGGACACAGGGTGGGCTTGGAGGACCTGCTCTCATCTGGTCCTTTAGGAAAGAATACAGAGCGATCTGAATTCAAAGTCAGAATGAAATGACGCAGTGCCTTCTTATTTATACAGGTTCTTTTCTGCTAAAAGTTAAAAAGTCACCTGCATTAAAACCAAAGAAAACAACTTTTCCATATTTTTAATTGACAAGAGGATATTAAATCTATTCCCAACCCCTCTAACAGTGATAGAAATGAGAATAACCAACTTTGGAAAAGAGGGATTAGAATACAAGTTGGGGACTCATTATGATTCTTATATTGAAAGATTTACAAACATGAGTTCAACTTATGGCTTTGACAACAAACTTTAGTAAATGGACTAACCAGAAGTCTGACCTTAGGCAATAACTAATGAACCTGAGAGCATTTTAATATATTTTCTTATCACCAAGTGAAGCACTTTAAGTTATTATAGTCAGGCTGCATGACCTCATACAATTGAATCATGCTAGAGGCAAATAGGCTAATGCCTTTGATAGCAATTAGATAAAGGCAGGATGTTAACTTGTACTTTAAAAAGTGTTAAACAGAGGGACTCAACTCCTGGTTTAACATAGTTAGAAATAACCTACATATATAACAGCAGAGGTTAATATGGCAATGGCCTCTTTCACATGTCAAAAGAAAATTAATTTTGTTTTATTTTAAAAATTATTAGGTTATTTTATTTTTATAAAGGACACTTTGCTAGTTTCTAAAAACATCATGATATTCTCCAATATTAGAGCAGCTCCCTTTAATGTTTATAATTTCTAATATACTTAGCAGTAGTTGAACAACATCTTCCTGTCAGTTATAGCCACAGAGTCATTTATCTGAGCTGGACAGGGCAGAGGACTACAGTGAGATCAAATGATAAAAGAGAATAATAAAATAATATGATGTAGATACTAAAATCTATGATGTCACTGATTGTGATACACAATTCTAAGTATCAAGTATGAGAAGTATATAATTCTAAGTAAAAGTAGGTTTTATTAAACTATTTTCATAATATACTTATTCAAATTTTATGGTTATAAAAAGAACTCTTTCAAACTTAAATTTATTTGTTATTATATATCACTCCTGCACAGATAGAAGACACAGACAAGAGACTCAATTGGTTATAGTATTTCTAGAACTTCTTCCCATCCGCTAATGATCCTTTCTAATCTGTGCACTTAGGCTTTTATGTCCACATCTTCGTTCACAATAACATTCTGTCATCAGAAGTACTTGTGAAACTTCAAATTGCATGACCCAATGGGTGTGCATCTACAAAGATGCAAATCACAATTATAATCCATAAATATAAACAATTAGGGAAGCATTACATCATTCTATTTCATGAACATGTACAATTATTATATAGCAATGAAAACCAAACTTTAAAACAATAGTATTTCCAAGGCATCCTTGCATTAGGGCATTCCAAGCCCCTCTCTTCCCTGCCAGCCCATGTTTTGATAATCAGTTAGTACATTTTATGCAGTTTTTTTTCTTTTCTTTTTTTTTTTTTTGAGACAGGGTTTCAAGTGGACCACCCTGCCCTTGAACCTGCTGTGTATCCTGGAATGAGCTTGGGTTCCTGATCTTGTTGCCAGCTCTGGTGTGCTGAGCTTATATGTGTGCAACACCATACCTTGCTCTAACAAGCAGTTTCTTAAGTGTTATCTAATGTGTGAGTAGACCAGAGGAGGGGTTCATTTCCCATCCTTGAGTGGTTCTTAGAACACTTCTTGATAGTCAGTGGAGGGCTAACTGACACTTTATGTGCCCAAAATAACAACTTAGTTCACCACTGAATAGACAGGACATTAGTGTTCAACTGCTGTCTGGTGGCTTGAAATGGACAGTAAGATAAACTATCCTTCCAAAGCTATTAAAGTAATTTTAAAAGTTATGCTTTAGCCACTAATAGTGGTGCACTACTTCAATCCCAGCACTAGGGAGGCAGAAGAAGGTGGATCTCTGTGAGTTCAAGGTCAGCCTTGTTTACAATGGTGAGTTATAGGACTGCCAGAGCTCCACAGAGACTCCCTTTCAAAAAAAAAAAAAAAGTTATGCATTAGCTTAATTGCCTCAGCACTGGAAACAAAACAAAACAAAATTATGCTTTTATAATAAAGAAATACAGTTTAATATATGTTTAAGAATTTGTAAATATTTTGGCTGGATATTACTGCACTTCCAAAATAGCCAGAGAGGTTAGGTAGCTAGTAAGGGAGTAAGTGGTGAAGAGGAGGAGGTCCTGTGGAAAAAGTAAAATGGCGTACAGTGTTACTAAGAGATAAAAGGGAAGTTAGAATAAAAGGATTAAGAGGAGAGGGAGCTGGGAGAGCACGATAAAGGAAAGAATGGAGGGAGGGACAACTAAGACTGAAGACCTTTTGAAAAGCCACATGGAAGCCTACCATTGTAGACACTTCTTAAAATATATAGATCTATGGAGGAATTTAACAGGAGTCACTGCATAGTAGGGGAGAGAATGTCCCAAATACGCACTTTATGCTATCAAGTTAAACCTTCAGTGTCAGGAATGGGTTATATTTTGTTAGGTCATTAGCTAAAGGGGTCCCACAGGATCTCCCTCTTCAAATATCTCAGGCTATTGGTTACCCTCCACAACCAGATGGTAAGACTATACTGCTGAAGATACAATCTACTTATTTCATCACAAATGGAGAAATCAAGCTGGTGGCATATCAGACGCTTCATACCTATTCACTAGTGCTCACAGTGCTACTGGAGGAGAAAAGTAATCATCAGTATCACCCATCCACTGAACTTGTGTTCTAGAACAATGCAAGATATGTGGTGTGACAGTGGCATGAATGCTATGGGAGTACCAACCACTTTCTGATTGGATCCAAGGCCCATCCCATGGGATAGAATCCACAACTGGTGCCACTGAAGCGGTCACAAACTTGAGATTATATAGGGCATATATTTCAGGAACACAGAAATAAAATGACTACGAATGACCCATAGATCAGAGCATTGGTCAGCCCTCACTAGAGAAGCTTCTTCTGGCAGTAGATGGCAACTAACCAAGGGATTCATGACTGGACAATGTGTAGAGTGAGAGACTTTGGAGCATCTAGCCCTAAATGGCATATATTTATCAAACTCCCCCATTTTAAGGACCAGGGATTGAGGTGGAAGAGGAGGCAGAAAAATTTTAAGACCAAAGAGTGAGCATCTTCCAGATATAACAGGATTGACAGACATATGGACCCACAGAAATTGTGACAACATGCACAAGATCTACACATGTTTAAACCAGACAAAAATCCCAGCACTGAGAAAGGGAAGTAGACACAGAGTTGTACCCTCAACTATAAGCTATTTGATATTGAAACCCGCTTGGAAAAGGAAAACCAGTTTTCTTCAATGTTACTGGGTATATCAACCACACTCCAGAGAGACCCCATGCCCACAGTAGTTGGCCAATATAAAACAGACTCCATGTTTGCTTGCTTGCTATGTATGTTTTTGTTTTGTTGTTTTTGTTATTTTTTTGGTTTGATTTTCATTTTTTTTTTTTGAGAGAGAGAAAGAACATGAAGCTGGTGGGTAGGGAGATGGGGAGGATCTCAGGCAAGTTGGGGAGGAAGGAATATGAACAAAATATACTGCATAAAATTTAAATAAAAATAAACTGGAAAAATACAAAATCATACAGTTAAATATTCAAACAATCAGTGGTGGGTTCTAAAAGGAGGGGATCAGTTTTCTTTGGGGTGTGGTGGCTCCCTAGGTCAGGTCACTCCAAGGGAAGGGACCATATCCAAGAGTGTGTGGCCAGCAGAAATTGGTCTTGATGAGCTTAAAATAAAGAGAGAGAACACACACACACACTTGGGTGTATGATGAAGGGGGCTGGATCAGGAAAGAGTTGAAGGAGGCTTGAACAGGATCAAAATCTATTGTAAAAAATTCTTAAGGAAGAAATGAGAAAAAAAGGAAAGGATTACACACAGAGCCGTTCACTCTTACGTTATGTGGTGAGTCACTCTGGTTGAGCTCTTTCCAGCACGCATTTATGCAGAAGAGCATGAAGCAAACTGCAATCACCAGAGACACTTTAGACACATGCAAGTTTTTGGAATCAAATTCTTCTATAAGGAAAGTGCAATGCGTTAGAAATCTAGATGTGTTAAAAATTATTCTCAGGTTATTTTGATTCAGGTTGTTTTTGGAAACACTGGTCAGTTTCAGAACTGGTTGCTGTGGAAGTCAAGATCTAGATCCAATTGTTATGTATGCTACATAAATGCAAAGTAGAAAAAAACACAAAACAAACACAATAAAATCAATAAAAAAGGGATCTAGGATATAAGGTTAGAAGGAGAATTTCAGGTTCCAGCTCTACTACTTAGTATCTGTAGGATCTTGAGTTAATCACTTATCTTGCCCAATTTATATAAAACAAGAACACTGCTTATTCACAGGGCTATTGTGAGGATATAATTATATAACCTGGTCAGGAATTAATTTTAGCAAAGGAAGTTGGAATAAGCAAAAATACAAAGCAAAATAGTTTTTCCCCCATCCCCTGTTACCATCTACTATATATGTTTATCCCAGGATTGGTCCTATTGACAGATTTGAAAAATGTAAGCAATTTCTTCAAGGCATTCCCCAATTCTCTTGCCTACAAGTAATCTTTCCCTTTTCACAGGCAGTCTACCTGCATTTTGTTACGAAAGCTTATTTCTACATTGTTTCACACTTTATGTACGTGACATATCTTTCTAATGGTCACAAACTATACACACACACACACACACACACACACGTATTAAAGAATAAGTAGCTTGTCTAATTTATCTTCATAGTACTAAGCATTTAACATGGTGTCAGCAACAGATAGGAGATTTTGCTAACAGAAGGATATGAATGAAAAAACAAGGCAGGGATCATGTTTCCATACTGACCCCTCTTTTTGAACAACCATTAACTAAAAGAGGTCACTACAGCTCAATCAACACTAAAAGTCAGACAGCAGACACCAGACTGTGATTTATCAGTTAGTGATTAGGTCAACTAAAGGTTATTTGAAAGCTGGGATAGGAACGATCCTTTAAAGAGTAATACATTGGCACTGTCTTAGTCTGAAAATACTAATAATAGCTCTGGGGAAGAGACAGGTACCTACTGCCATACGGATTAAAAAACCCAGGGACATGATGAGCAGGATGGCTACTAAATAGTTAAGTACTTACAATAAGACAAGATTATTTTCTTTGATGTTCATAAATAAACATTTCTGACTAAATTCTTTTAAGTATTCTATGAATATTTTATATGATACAGACATATTTACTGAGAAAGTTTTTCTCATTGAAAACACAATGTTTTCCTAATATTTATTGTTTCAGAGGAAAACATCTTTAAATAAAAACTAAAGTTAGTGACAATCACAACTATCTGATCAACTTCTATGGAAAATGATGTGCTTAGGTACACTGACTGTGCTAAACACTGACAGATTGCAAGTATTTAGAAATAGATATTGAGATGACATAGGCACCAATTTTAAGTATGTGGTTCGACAGTCATTGTCAGACGTGAGGGGAAAACACACACACAGGGCCCGCACACTTGAGCCGAGCAGAAGGGAGTTTCTCAGTGGAATGTGTAACCCAGGCCTAGAGGCATAGGTTTCCTTCCAATCCAGAGAAGGGACTTGATCAGGAACTCAATTCGCTGGGAAAGGACCTCGGAGATTTGGGAGTGCATTACATTTGTGAAATTTTTGGTATGATATTTAGTGCCATATAAAAGATTCAGATAAACAAGATAAACAAGAACTTGTATCTTCTAGTTTGATTACCAAATACATTTAGTTGTACCAGAGTCTAAAATTAGACCTTTTGAATTTTACATTAAAACTATGGCAAATATTCACTCAAGTTATTGATGCACTTTCTACCATTTTTATGTTTTAAGTTTCTCATAATCATGCCTATTTCTTTATCTATATTCCGATTTATAAACATATATATATATATAAGCAATTTAAAAATTATTATTTAAAAAATTGTCCATGGTGTTTAAAAATAATTTTGGAGCCAAGCACGGAATATTTTGTGGGAAATTTGTATCTTCATAGAGCATAAAATATACTCTGCCAGAACACTGCCTGAAGAGATTATCATGTATACATATTTAAGACTAGTGTGCACAGCCTAATCACCATTTCCTTACACCGCAGTTTATTTTTGCATTTTACAGTCCAGCAAATTGTCCCAATAATAAATGTGGATTTCACTTCATGTTTTGAAAATCCTATATTTCAATGGTTTGCTATTTTCATTTAAAAATGGTAGTGAAATTCCCCTAACAACCAATAGCACCGTCCTTGTCTGCACTCACTCTCTCTCTGCCCACGTGGGCCTTACTTCGGAGCCCATTGAAAATGGTGTTTTCCAAGCATGTGCCACATGACTTGTTCATATAAATGGAGCAAATTAAACTGTCTCCACACATATCCTATCACATTTGTAGTCCTGATTTCTCTCTTTAGCACGTGGCCAAGACACCGTATTATCTGCCTGCAGAGGTTGACCTCAGGATATTAGATTCTGCCACACAGCTCTCTTGTACTAAACCGAGGGGAAACACTTAATCACCCCTGCCTTTTCAGGAAAAAATCAACTTTAAATTTGCCATGATGAAAAATCAATAAACCAGTAATTGCTTGGCTTATCATTGCATGGAAGAACAAATTGGGAAGCGAAGCTTAGCGTCCACACAGATTTCTGGGAGACACATGGAGTTTCAGGATCACTAGGCTAGAAAAGGAAAAGGTCTCAGAGTGATAATTAAATCTACTCATGCTGATTTTCTGCCAAATTTATTTCCCAAGAGTATATAAAAATGTTTCACCGCTTACTAGCCAGGCATAACTAATCAAATCAACATTACACCAACATATATACAAGAGACAAAAAAAGCAAATGCAAGACTATAGATACCAGATTAATACTGATAAAAATGTTAATAAAATTACTTGACATTTTTCTTTTAAAATTGTTTTGTTCTATAAATATCCATTAATATTTTATAAACTAGCACAACAGTCTAATTACATTATAACCTTCCTGTTACTTTAAATGGTAAAAGTTTTGATTAAGCTATAAAATTTTATTTATTCAAAGATAAAACCCAAACTAGCACACATTAAATACTTTTATTCCCAGAACAATTGTTTGTAGCTTATTTCACCTAGCTTCTTTCTTTCCCAATGTAAATAAAAGCTGTTATGTAGAAATCAGTCCATTATTCAACACATTTCACCTCATGCAATGTAAGCTACCAGATCTGTTGTCTAAATTAGACTTCACACACAAAAACAGATCCATTGTCCAAAATAAAATGAGGACTATACATCATCCTTCCGACAAGGCAAAAACAGCACAAGAAACATCACTGGAGATACTTGGCGTTTAAAAATGACTCCACTAATAGACCTGATCCCACGCAGCAGATCAGCATCGCTCTAATGGAAGCGCAACACAATTAGACCCAAACCCTTGCACTAAGAGGAGGAGGAGCCTTGCTTTTTCTTTTGTTAAAAAATGATTTTATGTGTGTCCTTCAACTGGCTACTGGGAGTATGATAATTAAAACATTTAAAACAGCACAAGCCCCTCAGTCTCTAATCTGAAGCTCAGGTCAGCTGTCTGTAGATTCTAATTTGTCCGCCATTTGTATTCATGACAAGAAAATACTGAATATTTAACAGCAAACCAGCAGGAGGAGGTATTGTGGGCTTCGAGGTTAAATAATTTGATTTCTGTGCAGATTACATGTAACATCCAACAACTAATCTCACACCTGATTTGGCAATACAATTACAGTAACGATGCAGGTGCACCATCACTACAAAGCGCAGAAATGAGAACTTTTTCTCAAGGGCTGGGAAGCAATAGCTTTAAAGTATTGCACTGCTTACCACCTTCTAAGGCCACTTTTTCAATACAAAAGCAAAAATAACCTACAAAGCATGTCAATAGCCACCGCTGCTTTGATGGCACTAGAAGCGCCTTCTATTTCAGCTCACTAAACACACACAAAACACAGGTCTGTCAAGGGGCCTGCATGATGTCTTCTGGTCCAGTCTCCTGCCTTCGGGCAGGAATACATTGAAACAGAAGCTTTGTTTTGATCCAAGATAAACTTCCATCTGTTGAAAAGTCCAAGGTCTCTTTTAATAGAATAGACTATTTCTTAAAAGTAAGAAGACAAAGATAAGGCATAAAACCAGAGCAAATACCACAAGTTCCTTATAAGAGCATCGATTTGACTACAAATGTCCTAAACTACACCCCATCGCACATACTTGTGCACACACACACACACGTGCACGAGAGACAGAGAGAGAGAGAGAGAGAGAGAGAGAGAGAGAGAGAGAAGGAGGAGGAGGAGGAGGAGGAGGAGGAGGAGGAGGAGGAGGCGGAGGAGGAGGAGGAGGAAAGGAGAGTGAGTGAGGGAGGGAGGACAGGGAGATTAAAATTAATTAAATAAAAAACTCTTAGCATGGAATGCATGCCCAGGATACTTTAAGGAGTTGAAGAATGTACTTGAATTAAGATTTATATTATAAAGAGAGAAATCAGATTATTATACATAATCACATCAAATCATGCAGTAATAAAAATATATTTTATAATTTTAAAATTTTCCATCTTTTGAATATTTTCTGGAACAAGATCATTAAAAAATTACATCAACCTGTTTTTTTTCCCATCTGCTGATTGGTAGTTTTATTTATCATAATTATTGAACAAATCTGAGGACAAAAATACTGATGAGGACATTCAGTCATGAAGTGGGTGCTACAATACTTGAGGGTTTCTGGGCCTACTTACTACACTGATACTATCCAAGGCCGAATTTTATTTTTTTAAATTTTTTTTATTAAAAAAATTTCTGCCTCCTCCCCGCCTCCCAATTCCCTTCCCCTCCTCCCCCACTTCCCCCACTCCTTTCCCCCTCCCTCTCCAGTCTGAAGAGCAGTTAGGGTTCCCTGCCCTGTGGGAAGTCCAAGGTCCTCACCCCTCCATCAAGGTTCAGGAAGGTGAGCATCCAAACAGCCTAGGCTTCCACAAAG